AGACACAAAGTAAGAGTGGCAAAAAAAATAATAATAGCAATCATTATAATCCTTGCACTAGATACTAATTAGTAAATACTTATCAGAGGACAATCTCTCTTTTTCTGGCTTTCTTTTTTCCCCTACCCACTCAGAACTGCATATCCAGCCCGCCACATCCCCAAGGGATGGCAAGGGTGTTGGGCCGTGCATGGCGGAGGAGCCTCCATCCTGCATTTCCCACCGTGCCGGAGCTGTTTTCCACATGGGCCTCCCTGCTCGGGGAGGCGGCGCTCGCTCCTGCCCCGCACGCTGGGTACCTGCTTTCCAGGGCCTCTGCCACTCTGCGCCCTTCTGTTTTACAAGTAGGTCTAGGAGACAGAGCAATGGCAGGAGGGTCGTTGTGAGATGCTCGATGTGCAGAAGCGGAGCCAGAGGCTGAAACCAAGACTCTGAACCAGCCATGACCCGCTGTCCAGAGCTCCGTCTGGAATGGCTTTGAGCAAAAAATATAGAGAGCCACGGACAGTCTCCTTACCCCTGTCCTGAATTTGATGTAAACAACGTCCATAGAAACTGGGATTGTTAAGAAAGTTTATCCATATATCTGGATAGCAATAAAAAGCGTTTCCTAGGAAACTGTAAAATCCTGTACCAAGCAGCGTACAGCCGAGCCGAGAGGAACGGTAGGCGGGTTTATATTTTCAAGGTACAACTTTGCATGGTTTCCTTCAGATCCTGTGATAACACCGTACAAGGAGACCGCGTGTGCCGGTCGGGGCTGTGGGTGTCTTGTTAGCTCGCCCGCCTCTCCGTGGTGCCGCTCGTGCAGCCCCAGGGCTGCCTCTCAGCAGGGGGTGATGGGGCACAGCCGTGCGCCTGCCCGGCCTCGCCGCGGCCGTGTCAGTAGCTCCCTTCTGCTGCCAGAGAAACGACGGTCTCGTGTCTTCCCATTTCTTCCAGGACTGCTGCCAGCATGCTCAGGTTGCCATCGGGGAAATTCTGGGCTTCCCACAGGTCCAGGATCACCCCAGTGGGGCTCGACTTGGTGGCAAAATAATTCAGATACCTGCAAGAAGCCAACGGGAGAGCGGGTTGGGTTTGTTGTGTCACACAACTTGGGCCAATTCGCACGAGTGCAGCGGTGGCCACGCTCACCTGTCCAGCTTGAGCTTGTGGGCCAGCATCCTCCAGTCGTGGCCGCGGGTCTGCGGGGCGTCGAGGCTGCTGCCGGGCTTCTGGCGGG